TTCTAAGCGCTACCCAGGGCCGTGTTTGAACAACTGCTGGCGAAGGAATCATTCACGTAGCCACTCACGTACGAACACGTGAAATTCGTTGTAACTCTGCAAACGAAGCATCCAGAGCACTGGATCTTCTGGTTACGGGGTTGGGAGTCATTGTAATAATTTTTAACAGTCATGGTGGCCAGTCCCAGTTTTTTTAGCTAGAAGTATCTGCCAGAAAGAACGTACCACCGGCGAAAAAAACCTGCGGGGGAACTGTGCAAAAAACGCATTCTCGTACCGACAGCCGGTACGCTTTCTACTACGTTTATTTTGTATTCAAGGCATCGCTTTTTGGGGAGTGAAAAATTTCACATATTGTACACGTAGATTTTTCCAAAACTATCTTGCAGAAAGGCGAAGCTGATGTTGTAACGGTAGTTGAAAAGGCTGATGAAAGTGCTCTGCTGTTGAAGCATTCGAACTCGGACATGATTTGTCGCATTACGCTGACCAGCGTACTGCTTCGTGAAGATCATGTTACTGCAGGTAAATTTCCCCGTGCTCTTTTTTTAATTTTTTTTTTTTTTTTCGTTTTGGTAAGAAACTTTCCGTTCATTTCAATTACGTTCGTCCAAAAAGAAGTGAAATTTATGAAAAATCCGTTTTGTAAGCGAATTTGTTGCGTGTTTCGTTTGCTTTGTTTTTATTCGCATACATCCACTTATTGTTGTGCAAAATCTGACTCGAGTATGCGCAATGAAAACACACCTTTTTGCGGGCCTTTCCTTCCCAGTTTCATTCATCCCGATTGATGGGAAGTTTTCTTCCCCTCTCTTCTTGTCCGCTGTCCTCCTTCCTGCTTCACCCGCAGAAGTTTTCCATAGCTGGTATGTGGGGATTAAAATCGCAGAGTATGTTTTTACCAAAAAAGTTCTGGGGAGGAACGGGCTCAATTTCATCACCAAAGATTGCAACTGTTTAAAAACTACTTTTACATTAGCTCTCCCAAAATTGATCATCAGTGCTGTCAGAAAAATTGCAGCCACTAATTTGCAAGTCTTTTTTTATCGGAAAACTGCGAAATTCCGTTCTTACGCGTATGTATTTTTGCTTTAATTTGACATCCACATATAGCACAAATTTGTGTCTTTCGGCTGTTTTGTTCATTTGTGGTTTTATTATTATTTTTTGATTTGAAATGCACCAAACCATTTCTACCAGTCGAACAGAATGATCTGTTTTCTAAATCACTGTACCTGTAGATTCGGAAAACGAGCATTTTTTCAGACTGGTTGCAGTTATGTTCCCCACAGTTAATTATTCAACATGAATTATTTGTTTTTACATGTCAAAAGCGGCGAAATGCTAGCTTCGTTTTAAATTACGAATTTACAGTAATCGCGGTAGTTACAGTAATTACAGTTTTACAACGATTAGGAGTGGGAATTACAGTAATTTTCTTGAATTCAGTAACTAGCTGTTAGCTTTGGCCAACTACAGTAGCTTTTAAATTAACTAAGCAATAATAACTTTACATTCCGGTGTCGTAGTGTTGATGTTCAGGATGCTACATTTCTTGTGCTTTATTGGTTATTGTGCCATGCTCCTGTAGCTTTGATGCGCATTGGTTTACTGCTTCCACTGAGTGTATTCCGTGGTTGAATATGGTTCTCAATTCATACATTTTATTAGTTGTGCGAGAACCCATGTTAGTGGTGTTCCTGAGATGCTTCTACGCCCCAGTTGTGGGGATGGGCGGCTTTTACCTGAATAATTGTCGTACCAGTTTATGTTACTGATTCACTTTTGGCAGAAAAATTTCGCGGAAATTGCGAAAAGAGTGCGAAAAAAAACGGTGATGGTCTATTAATATTTTTACGGGGCTGAATTTGAGAACCATCAGTGGAGCTGCTACTGCTGCTTGGTTTCTTTTGTAGCGAACGCATTCAACGCGGAGGGAACGGAGTTACCACAATTTTCTTACAATAATTTTCGCCCTCTCTGCCTACGTCATGATTACTGCAGCTACCACAAGTGTGGCTTTCCTCTAGCGTTTCTAAAAAAAAAAAAACCTCTAAATACCGCGGAAGTTAGGTTTGGTAACTCTGTTGGTTGCACAGGACGAGGGCAGCTACCTCATTTCAATCATATGAAAAAAAGAAATTTCAAAAGATTTAGCAAATCCTGGATATTTTCTCAAAAAAAGTGATCAAATTGGGGAGTCCCATTCTTCCACTTCCAGCTCTATGAATATCTCCCGCACTGAAGAAGTTCAAATTTTCGGGGTTATTTTCTCGGGTAAATTTTGCGGGGATATACATTGTATTGATGCATGCTTGAATGCGTTTGATTCATTTCATTTGTTGTCAGAGGGTGATGGAGCTACGGCAGCGGCTGCTGCAGGCGCCAAAGCTGCACCGCCAAAGGATCCACTGCCGAAGGTCCCTTGCCTGGAAGCGCTTGCTGAATTGAGACACGCCAAGTGGTTCCAGGTACGTATTGTTATGTGCTTTTTCAAACGGGTTGGAAAATTTTTATGCAAAAAAAAAAAAAAAACGATCTACTTTTATCAGTTTTACATGGTGAGGATGAGTTTAGAGAATCATGTGAGGGGAAGGAAGGAGGGGCGGGTGGGAAGGATGTTTTTTAGGCCAGCTGATACATGGAGGAGCTCTTGGATCTCAAGAAAATTTTTGTTTTTGCCATAGCTGCACTGTTACACCAGTGCTTGAGGATTCAGCTTTGCCAGCAGGACAACGGTCCTATAATTCAATTGTTTCGGTATTACTGGCTCACTTCAGGGAGTCGGCTGTGAACTTGCTTTTGAGCAAATCCTGTTTGAAGAATCCGTCCGCAGTCTTGCCACTGGTTCCACGCATTTCTTTTTTGAGGAAAGGGAGGACTGATAACTTTGAAATTAAAATTAAGCTTCCTGTCTCTGCCACTGCCACTTTGGCCCCATAGCCTTCCTTACCCCCTGCATGCTCTTCTCCAGCTGATCAGCCCCCATCTCTGATGTTCTCTGGAAAAACAGTGTTGCTGATTTTGACACTGAGCAGTTGCTATTGCTAAAAGTATGGGAGTGCTGTCATCGTATTTACACGATTAAAGCGTGAGCCTGTCATGATCAGAAACAAGTTTGAGAGGTCCTTGTTTCTTTTGCTGTTGCTTAGACCTTTAGGGTGAGTTGCGTTAGATTTAGCCTGTGTTGCGATTTTCCCTCCTTAACCTCCTTCTCCGGTCTATCCGGCCTTTGTTATTTCTTTTTTTTTGCTCATTGGTGAAAACTTTCTAAAATTAGTAACGTAACCAGATTCCTAAGGTTTGAACAAGTATACTATTGCCGAAGTTGGGATTCAGTAAAATTTTCCGACCCTTCATATGACACGTAACATGCGAACTTTGTAAGGTCACTGTCAGTTGTTTATGTAACATTTGACAATGACTTAATTATGCTCCAACAGCTTTGTGCAATATAATGCTGCTTTTTATATGCGCATAGCTCTTTGCAAGTACTACTTGGGCACTACAGTTATCAGGGCGGAGGAAATGAAGAGCTGCATCCTCTCTCTCTCTCTCTTCCAATGTTAGCCGTGATTCGGAGTGCCATTAGAGCCATTAATGTTATTAAGATCCTCCTTGGAAGCCTCTTTTTTTTCATTATGATCGGCAACAGTGCTCTCATTTAGGGCCGATATATTCCCTTGGATGTCGGCTGGTACTTACGTAAAAGGAAATGCGCATATGTTTTTTACGGAAATCGCACAAAACAGAATTTTAATATTTTTTTCGCCGGAATGATTGTCCATTTGTATTAAATTTTTCGCTGACTTTTAGCTTATGCCATGGATACTGGACCATTCCGTGGCGGGGCCCTTTGGGCGCATGAGATTCTTGCCAGGCCTTCATTCTCGGGTTGTTGATCTTTCAGATTTTATTGCTTTCATATGTTAGCGCATTATTTTTGCTTTCAGGTTAGATGTTCAAACTTGCAGTCAGCAGCAATTACGCTTCGTATCTTGCGTGATGTACGCCAACGTGTTTCAACATGGCAGCCATTAAGAGCCTGGGTAGGTCTGTTGGTACAGTCAGTAAAATTGTGTATCACTGTAAAATTGATCAGATACTTACGTCCAGGCGTATTTGTTTTGAAGAAGAATTTGTTCTTTTAATTACGATAGTATCAAAAGCCCTCATGGGAGATCTCAGTAGTAACCACTCACTGGCAGCGCTATTGATAGCGTCCTTTTCTGAGGGCTGCTTAAAAACAGTTTTGACTATCTGAGATGCATCAGTATCAATTTACCAACTAAACGAATGAACTAGCTGTGGAAGGTCTGGTTGCCACCATGCTAACGAAGTCGAATTTTGGGCCTTATAGCTTGAAAGAAAAGCTCTCTGTCACTACTGGCCTGCATGACCTCAGTAATGAATGAGGACTAGTGTTGTTATATTCTTGAAACGAAAAATAAATTTGTGGGTAGTACTTCTGGATTAAAAAAAAAAAAGATCGGTGTTTGACAATTGTTAGTTCGCTACGTCCATCCATGGATAAGTTTTGAAACAAACTATGAAGATTTGGAGTGAGAAATAGAAGGCTCTCTAGCAGTGAAAGTGGGTTTTCGCCCGTTTTTATTCTTATTTGGTTCGATCTGTAGAATGGTTTGCTTGGTTGCCGTCGGGCAGCAGCTAATTGCATAATTCGTTGGATTACTAAATTTTAGCGATTTTCAGGCGGCCGAACTGCTTGTGGAAAAAGTCCTGTCATCGCTAGGTGCGCCACTTTCACCTGGCGATGCTTTACGCCGTGTTTTCGAAGCAATTGCATCGGGAATTTTGTTTTCATGTAGGTTAAAGCAGTTGTGTTTAACTGAAGAAAAAGTAGCGCAATCTGTTTTTTCCTCTTATTTTCTGGAATACGTTGGGCTTGTTGTGCTTAACAGAGCGTAGTTTCTGGATACGAAGAGGGTCACCTGAATCCTTTCTAACCCAGAGCCGAATCTTTTTCCGCTGTAACGAAGTTCGCTGTAATCAGAGGTTGAAAAGATTTAATTACAACGGTAACAACAAACAGTTGCAAAGGAAAAAGCGGGGCAGACGAGAATAAGACGGCCGGCAGCAAGCAGGAGTTAACGGTGCAAGCACGGAGCGTGAGCTAGTCGAGGAGTAATCGATAGAGCGGCAACGGTTGTGAACTGTGCACACACTGTACGCTTGGGGAGGTGCACTGGCTTAGGCACGGTAACCTTGCTTACAACTCCCTACTAAATACAACACACAAAACAAGCAAAACATGGAGAACACTGTCTTACCTCCCGCCAGCTAAAACTATACTAGTACTAGTGGAGACCTCAACATGTGCTTTAGGCAGCCATAAATGAAAACCCAGGCTGGAACGCACCAGGCGGGCCGTAGCGATTATGCGTTTTTGCACTTCCGTACCGTAGCAAGATCGCAAGGAGTCAGTGTAGCTAACCCTGTGAAATACTGGCCCTCGGA